TTCCTTCCTTCCTTCCTTCCTTCCTTCCTTCCTTCCTTCCTTCCTTCCTTCCTTCCTTCCTTCCTTCCTTCCTTCCTTCCCCAAATCTACAAGGCTGCCCAACTCTACAATAACTCTGGATGGCAGACAGTAAGAACCAGCCTGCAATAAACAGAGTGCCTCTGCTTTCGCTGTTAAGGACAATTAAAAGCATGGCACTGAAATCTCTCCTCTCACCCAGCAGGGGAGAGTTTTATAGAAAAGCGGGGGGGGGGCTTGGGGTCCCTGCCAGGACCTCCCAAAAGACTGGTGGGATGTATTGTGGATTAGGCCAGATTAGGCCTATAGATTGGAGGTTCTCCGTCTCTGTCTAGGAACATCCTAGCTGGAGAATGATGGGGGGGTTGTAATCTAACCCAGGAGTTTTCCATTTTTTTCGGGTCACAGAACCTGTTAAATTCTTGGAATCCCTGATCAAGAGGCAACGCTTGATGAACTTCAATGAACTGCTGTCCGCTCCTCACAAAACCCATCCAGCTGTGGCGAACCCAAGTGTAACGTATACGGTGGAATCAGTTGGGGAAGGTGCCACATTCAGACCTAGCTACTAACTGTTCCTCCGCTGCCGGGTTGTTGGCAACTGATCCCGAGCAAGCTGCTGCGTCTCGGCAGCACTAAACCTAGCAGAAAGTATTTCCATGGCTGCAATCTTTCTCAGATGGGGAAGTGAGTGGAACTTGTCAGTGCGGAGAAGGGGGTTTCATTCTGCGTTCAACAGGCTTCGGTTTAATCATTGACTTCTGATGAGCTCCTGACGCACAGCAGGGCGTGCCGCTGCCAGCTGCTGTAAAGAGTGGGCTCTGTCTGACGTGACCTGGAGGTTCCGTCTGCCCATAAAGATGGAAGCCGATTCAGTGCAACTCAGTGCACTTAAGAGCTGGCGTGAGACCATCAGGTCAGGATCCATAGGAAGTAGCCTCACTTCAATCATTCGCTGGCCTCGGTTCGAAGGGAAGATTCCAGGATATGCCAGCCGTTCAGCCCACATCTGGGCCATGGAGCAGATGGAGATTATGGCGGCATAGGAGAACGTGTATTTGGGGGGCAGAAATGATCGAGGTAGGGAACCGGGTCAGAAACGCCAAGAACTACAGCACAGCTCAAAAACAGCCCTGCAAATGTTTAAAATGGCCCTACTTTTGCATCAGATGAAAGCAATTCTCTCATGCCATTCTCTCAGGCTACCACGGGTTTGAGATTTCAGAAGAGGGAGAAGTTCAACAGGAAGAGCCTTCACCAAATCACCACGTGAAGTCCGTTGTGTTCCTGTTAAACCAGGCTTCATGCAGCATTCTTTCTGGAATGTCCACAGAGCCTTTCAAGCTCCCCAGGTTAGGCCTTTTTTGGCACTGGGGGGCTGGAAAAAGTGTTCAGGAGCCAAATGACTGCCTTACACCTTGTAGATGCATAAGACATTGCTTTTTCCAGTGTTAAAACTCCTGAAGCTCCTCTCAAAATGGGCCTTGCCCCCACCTACTTCTGGAATACAGCACTGTCCCCAACCTGTCCCACAAACTCTGGGGTACCTGTGACCTGGTAGAAATTGTGCATCCCTGAGTTAGGTGCACAAGAGCCTTTCTCAGAAAGACAAAAACGGGGGCAACTTAACTCCCCATCTCTAGATCGTGAATTGCTACGTAGATAAGGAATTCTACTTTTGCACGTATGGACACCTTGGATAAAACTCATCTTGGCTTGCTTGTGTATAATTTATTTTAATCCCTTATTGAGAATTGAACAAATTTGAATGCTCAGGTTTGGAAAGACATTTCAACCACTGGATGACGAGAATGATTTCTCTCCCTCCTGAAGGATCTGGTGCTCCCACTTCCTCACACAATAGTTGCCTGAAAAAAAATCTGGGTGTTATTTATAGCAGGGCACTTTTACTCTTCTGGAGAGTGGAAGGAGTTCCAAATGGAAGGAGCAAACCCCAAGATTATTCACGTTCAAAACCGTCAGTATATACACATCCAAAATATGGAACCAGATGTTGCTGAACTACAACTCCCAGTAGCTCCAACCAGCATGGCAGGTGATGAATTTCAGCAACAGCTGGAGAGTCTCTTGTTTCCTTCCCCTGTTACAGACCAAGCCAATGACTTGTATATCTAGGTACAAACCAGCATGTGGAACGCTGCCGAAAATCACAGGGCATACAGTATCAATAGTACTGAGGTTTGGGCTCCTTGTTCAAAGAGCTTTGTTTTTAAGCACTGTTGGAATACAAAGTCCACCCAATTGGCAAGTGATCTGGTGAAGTCTGCATTGACTCAACTTTCCAAACACTTGTCAGTAACAGATTCATGTCTCCTAGCCCCTGCCTCATTGGCCTTGAGGCTGTAAATATTCTTTCATTTTCTAAAGTCTTTAAGACCGAGGATGAAGAAAGTGGAGGCTACTCAGAGGTTACCAAACTAACCACTCTCCAGCAACTTCCTACTACTGCAAGTTGTGATGAAGCTAGAGGATCAAAGATTTTGCACCCAATGTAGCCATTATCAGGGGTTGGGTTCAACCAATGTACTAAACCACCTTTTTGTGGCTTAAAAAGTCATTTTAATCCATCTCTTGGAATCTGTAGCCCATGATTTATGGGCTTGGTATGCTATATGATCCTATTCATCTGTGGTTGATTCCACAAACCCTAGTTAAACAAAATGTGGCTATTTTGGGAGAACAACGCCAATGATGAAAATGTCTAGAGGATGCCAAGGGGTATCTAAGTACAATTGGGAAATCTCATTGAATTTTAGAAAGATAGCAGAGGGCATGGTTCCAGGAAGAAACCGTATTCATATTTTGTGCTCAACTGTGAGTGGAGAGACAAACAAAATTGGATTTATTCTCCGAGTTGAGCAGAGGGGAGGTAGAAACGGATGTTTACATCCAGAAGCCATTCCGATTTTTGCATGATCTGACTCTGTAACAGCTTTTTCCTGACTGCTAAGTTCCAGAGATGTTCTCCCCACCCCTCTGCAGGATCCGCCGCATCCTTCTAGTCCAATATCCAACTCGGTCCAGCTATCTACAGCAGCATATTAGCACCCAAAGATGAGCCGACAACCATCCTTTTAGGGACAACCGAGGAAAAAACGTGTAGAGAAATGATTTCTCAAGAAAGGCAGAATTGGAGGAGTCCACCTGGCTGATCACACCCTTGCTGGATCAAAATCCATAATCCATAAATAAAAAAGGTGGAAACACCCTTCACCTTCTGCCCACGCGCAAGAAAGCAATTTATTGGCTTGGCCAAGTAAAAAATGGGAAATCAATGTACATAAAATTGCCACAAATATCCATAAGAGAGTCATTGGAGAGCACACCATGTTTTCCCACAGCTCTCAGGAGATCGCTGAACTACAACCCCCAGCATCCCCAGCCTGCCAGAGCCATGTAACCAATGCTAGCCCCGGAGTCCAGCAACCTGTAAGGGCCCCCCTTTCCCTAACCCAAAAGAAGAAAGCTTCTCCCGGTTCTTCTGTTGCCAAAGTCCGGGCAAAACCAGGGGGAAACTTCTGAAAAGTTAGGGGTGCGTGTGCTGCTTGCACCCGGCCCACTGGCTCCCCGGGTAACGCCCCCCCCCCCCCGTTCGGCTGAAGACGGAGCAACAGCTGCGTCGGCCTCTCG